AAAAAAATCATCTAGCCCTCTCATTGGGGGACATGTGAACTCATCACCTTCTTTAGAAAAATAAGCTCAGAGGGCTAACCTTTTTACAATGAACTTTGTTTATGTTATTTATTTGAGATAACAACATAGAAATCTCATTACAAGGGTGCCTCCTTCCTGTCTGATCCAGGGGCAGACACATCCAGAGTCAGGAAAACTATTCCCATTTCTGATGCCAACACAAACCATTGGGGAAAAAGGCTTGCCTTGGGAAAATCCTGCAGCTGATGCTGATCTCTGCTCACTCCAGAGTAGCTACACTGAAATCAGTGGAGTTATTCTAGGCTGACTGCCATGTAAAAGGTCTGAGCTAAGGCCTTCGAGTCTCTATTATACAGAACAGTGCTCTTCAGCTCTGGGTTTCTCTCTTCTTCTCTTTCAGGACTCACCCTCAACCCATTTCTGTCAGTTTTAGGAATTACTATGCCCACCTCTCCATCACTGTAGTATCTGGGCACCTCATACTCTTATCCTCTCCACACTTCCATGAGGTAGGGAAGTGTTGTTATGGGAATTTGAGGCACAGAGAGGCTCACTGAATTTACACAAGTCTGTGGTGGATCATGGAATGAGCCTGTGTCTCCCCAAGGACTAGACTGGTATCTAACTGTTGGGTCATCCTTCCTGTCAGGATTTACACTAGTGATTTCCCCACTGTTCTCTAGCACTCAGGCTGACTAGTTTATGCCCAATGGGCACAGAGAAGAGCTCCCATGCTAAGAACACTCCTTATTAATCTCCCTCTTTCTTCAATTAGTTTTGGATTCCCCACGGGGATCCTCAATCTGAGAGAGGAACTCCACGTCCAAGCCAATAGCATGGGTCTCCCTCAATGGCATCAAAACTTGAACTTGCTTAGGAGAGATCTTTATCTCCCCCCATTTCCCTCTATCTGTGTCCTAAGACCCTATGAAAACATACCTCTCCTGCACAAAGTTTCGTCTCTGCTGAGCGTTCATGAAGTTGTTGGCATTTCGTCTGTTAATGAAGGGATCTGATGAGGTGAGAGAGTATTTATTTATTTGTCATGAATGTGTAGTTGAAATGAAGCTCACCAACTGCTTACAACAAACCCTGGACCCCATTAACCTCCTATTTCTACTAGCTGCCTGTATGACAAAGTCCAGAACACGACCAGCCTCTCATTGTCATGGGTGTCCCCTGTTCCACTAGCCTGGCATTCTCACCAGTCTCCTACTCTTCATGACTTCATGCTCTCTGAAGCCTGCTACTCGCATTCCATACATTCAGGATGGAAAAGGTCATGCTGCTCAGCCAGGCCCCACTGCTTGTTTCTTCCACTGCATTCTCCAGATCAACTTTAAATAACCCATCAATGAGGCTTCCCTCATTTCTCTAGTGAGATCATTCCGCACTCTAATAGATCCATAACCTGATCTTTTTCCTTAATATTCAGCTTAAATTGCTCACGGTCTGCTATCATCTCATTGAGCCACACTAAATGGCTTCTCCTCATCTCTCTTTATGGTGTTTACATTTGTCAGATACTGATCCGTGATTATCCTGTTTCCCTGGGCTGTCAGGATATAGATTAACTACATGTCTCAAGGACTCTCTAGTGCTGTGGTGTCCAACATGCTAGCTAGTAGCCACTTGTGGCTATTTGGCCTGTTGAGTGTGGCTAGTTGGCTTGAATAATGTGGCTAGTTCACTATAGCATATTCAGAATAATGTGGCTAGTTTGTTAAGTGGCTACTCCTTCAGAACTGGTTGGACACCACGAGCCCTGATGCCAAGAAAACAAATCCTGTTGCTGTTTGATGCCTCTGTAGATATAGCCCAGTTATAGAAACTCTTTTCAATTTTTTTGCTGCCATTTAATATTACAGGATTATATTCCGTTTTTGGATCCCTCTGACCTAAACTCTCCTTTGTAATGTCCTGCTTTTTACATGTCTCCCTGCTACTGATAATCTATATTTTGAATTATTTTTCCCCAAAATGTACTAACTTGTATTTGTCCAAGTTATATTTCTTTAAAAAATAAAAATGTTACCCATCTATATTTTGAACTTGCTCAGATTGCTCTTTATTATTATTCCTTCCTCAAATTTATCATCCTCTTTAAATTGAGCCAACATGCTGTTTACTTCTTTTTCCAGATGAGTAATAGCTCCACATGCCTGCCAATCTCAGCTGCTTCTTGTACTGAAGAGGGAAAGGCAGCAGGGCATGAGTTCTCTTACAGCAAGCATCTCATTAGTGGTTTAATACCAGATGTGGCGTATCTCTGCAGCACCTCTTAGGCAGCTCTTCCCAAAGCACTTTGCTGTTTATCAGTAGCATTTTCTGAGACCCTTTCCTGGGCATGTCAGTGATCAAAGCTAGTCTCAGTTAGCTTTCAGGTAAGATTCTGTAAGACATTCTGTCAAATGCTTTCCTGGAGTCAATGTGCATTTTATCTTTTTTTGCTCCCCCTTTCAGTCATCCTGAAATTCCGTCGCTACAGAAATCCAATTTGTCTGGAGGGATTTATTCTCCCTTTTCCAATTTCCACCAATCCCCCCACTCTCATGCAGCCCAGTCTCAGCTGAACCCCTAGCAGAGGGTAAAGACAATTGAGTACAGGGATCCCTCAGTTCCCCCTCTAATTTAAATAAATGAGTAAAATTGTCTCTTACCAAAAATCTCATGGGATTCCATACTCTCGTGGGATTCTGGAGAAAGAAGAGGAAAACGTTGAGGGAGGCACTACAGTTTAGGAATCTCAGAATTTTTCACTCATCATTAATAAATGGCAGGGAAGAGAGACTGAGTTGTCTTATTTAAAAAACAAAGCAAGGAAGGGAATATGCCATCTAGAGGAGGATTGCACCAGTGGGTTCTATCCAGGGCTGTGCCATCTGCTCCTTTATGTATCCCTCTGTATATGGGTATAACACCACTTCACAGTGGGGCAGCCTGCTTCATTAGTGAATTTGCATTTGTAAAGCCCTTTGAGATCCTTCCATGAAAAATGCTATAGAAGTCAACAATATCACCGTGTGTGCATGTTTCAATGCAAGGTCAGATCCCTCCATTAGTATGAATGTACTATTAGAGAAAACAGGAGAGCTATTACATAAGGAGACAGGAAAGTTTGGAGGAGATATCTCGCTCACCATTAACAAATACAACAGGATGACAACCCAGGGATAGTTCAGAGAGTCACCTTCTTATAGGAAATAAGGCGTGGGATCTATACGAGGAATGCCCCTTACCAGATCTTGCATCACTTAGCTATGCAAGCAGCACCTAGGATCTCCCCTCCAGTGCATCCACAAGTTGTGTTGATCAAGGAAGGCCTAATCAGATCCCTTCCATCTCCTCTGCCTATGATCCACACAGACTGGGATTGCCAGAGATGTGGGGATAGTTTGCAATCATGAGGGACTGGGTAAAGAGGAAGGATCCAAAGTGCAGGCATCTCTAGACTAGAGGCAGATTAGGTGACTGAGCTCTGGAGGAGAGGCAGAGTGGTCTGACACTTTGGTAGAGGGAGTTCTGGGGTAGAGGATGGGCAAAAAGACAGCAACAGAGAAGAGGAGATAAACATCAAAGTAAAACATCTCGACAGACCAGGGGGTATCAGTGACCAGCGGCCACTCCAAACAAGTTCCAAGAAAAGAGGTCACCTACCATAGCAGAAAGCTGCAGCCATCAAAACAGCCAGGAGCGCGAGAAGGATGAGGGTCCGCATTGTGAGGGAGTTGTTCTCTCTTGCACTTTCTCACTCTCTGACTGTCTTTCCACTCAGGGCAGAGGGAAATTCTGGGCAGGCTGCAAAGTTAGCAGTGGAGTGTTTATTATGAAAGCAGCAGCTGGGAGGAGAGGAATCAGAGGAAGCCTGGGGAAAGTAGAGCCTGGCTGCTTCTTGCCTTCTATGGGACTGTTACAAAACACCCTCTATAAACAGGTCTAATCTGCCTTTGACGGTAAGGCAGGCACGCTCCCTTTCCCACCCTTGCTTAGGGGGAGGGTGCTGGAGTTCAAAGGGAGGTGAGCTGTTAACACTGCATGTCCAGAAATGCTGAGCTATCTGAGTGTAATTCCAGACATGGAGGGGGACCACACATGTTTGTCTCCCTAATTCCTTCACTGATCTCCCCGCTTTGCCATCACCACCCTTGGTCTTGACACACCAAGCCTGTACTGTCTGTCAGCTCCATAGCTGGAAGGAATGGGACCAACCCCCTGCTTCCTGGTGAGATGGGGAAACTTGAGCTCAAATGCTCCATCCTTGGCTTCCTCTCAGTCTGATCCCTAATATGCCCCAGTTCGGCTCTGGTTGCCTCCATCTGCCAGGGATAAGAGAGGTGTTCAGCCTGGTTATTTCCCTGTTCTCACCCTACTGTGCCCTGTCTTCATGGCACTCAGAGTCTTGACAGGATCCCATCTGCTGGGATCACTGTTAGTTCACATTTATGCTGCAGTAGCCCCAGAAACCTACCTCTATGTTTCTTCTCTGAGACCTCAGGCAAATGCTGCTCCCTAAGTAGAATGAGGCCAGGCCACCTCTTCTTGGGCGAATGATGAATCCTTCACTCTGAGCGGCTGACTCTTGGAACAAGATCTGGTGCTAACACTCTCCCCTGACATACAGGGACCCAAGTTCAGCCAAAATCCATTGCTCTGCAGGCCAGCAGGAGCCAGAAGACCTGCAGAGTCTGCCCCAGTGATCTAGCCAAAGTACTCTGGCTTGCTATGTGGGAAACTCTAGTCCAGCTTCTGACACCGGTTTCTCAGGCTGGTTGGCCCGGGGGAGGGGGGAGATGTGAACTGTTGTCTCTAGCCTCCTAGCTGCCAGCTCAAAGAAAAGCGATCTAGGATCAATGGTTTCACTTACACCACATGTGAAGCCACAGCCAAAGCAGCGTGTGTGAGTGCAGGGCACACTGAGCAGTGTCTGTGTCTGAGTGGTAAGAGGCTGTTCCAGCCAAATGAAGTTCACTGAGGACGGGTGACATAGCGCCCCATGCCAGCCAGTGGCATGCAGATTTTTCCAGCAGTCTGGAGCTGTCACACAGCCTGGGCACAGATCCAGCTCAGTTCATGCCCTGAGGCCAGCGAGACAGATGCTCTGTAGCCAGCGTTATACTTTGCCATTGTGGTTACACGTGTACAATCATCTCCTGGAGGATTCACACTCTGCAGGGACCCTAGAATGCACCAGAATTTTGTCCGGAACCAAATGATTCCCTCCCAGGCTGAGCCTTGGACCTGTGAAAGGACCAGATTATCCTGGGCTTTGCCAGTATCTCTACCAATGCCAGGAAATAGTTGACTCCAAACTCACAGTTCCTCCCTGCCTCACACACACTCCTCCTGCTCCTCCCAGCACCTCCTGGATTTGAGAGCAGTGGTCTGCTTTTTTTAAGGGAGCTTATAGGCCTGGGTAAGGAACTGTTGCATTCCATGCAGTTCAAGGGCTTTTACAGAATGTGGACTTTATGGGCTTAAACCGTGGTTGCTCCAGCAGCTTGTGGGAAGGCTGCCGTGAGAGAGATAAGGAGTGAGCCTGGAGAGGCAGAGATTGGAACACAGAGAGGGAGATGCTGGAAAGATATACAGAGAAATGTACTGGTGATGGGGGTCGCACAGTGCTAACCAACTCCTCTCCATGTACCTGTCCTGTCCTCCAGCGCTGAGTCCTCATGGTCACTGTTCCAGCCCCCAGAATGCCTGTGGCATCACACACTGCCACCACAGAAGTGAGGCCATGTCATGAACAGGCCTTAGCCCAAACACTTCACTTTTACCCACAAGCAGACATTGTTGGAAGGCAAATTAACCACCCTTCTACGCTGTCCTCAGGGGACTGCCTGTGCTGTTGCTGTGGGAACTTCATTGCAGAGTCCCTGGCTACCTACCACCAGGCTCCTAACACACTCACATCCCTCCCTGGGGGGTACGGACCACCCTGCCAGGGGAAGCCAGCAAGACTCACACCGCATGGAGCACACCCAGATCAACACTTGACTCCCAGCCCTTGTCAACTAACAGTATCTTCTGGTGTGCAGTAGTCACAGAAAAGGAGCTAAGATTAACTGCCTGCAAACTACGGAAATTTCTGCAGTCCCTGGGAACAGGGTATCGCAGCACAGGCAGCCCTGGCGCCCTTGTCACGGTGGATGAAATAATAATAATACATTCCACAGCGTCTCTCTAACATTTTACTGCTGCACAGCACTGCACAGACATTAATAACTAACTCCAGGGAGATCTCTGCATACTCACTCTGGACTTGCTTCCTCTTCAGTCTGCAGCTCTTGTCTCAGGGGGAGTTCTCCCAGTGTCCTGTAGCATTAACTGGAGACAAGGGGGCCTTTTTATTTATTATCAGTGATCAGTGACTCCTCCTCTCTTCTGTCGCCCCCGCTGGATCCACCCTCCACCCCCAGGCTCCCACTTTCTCTGCCAAAACACCTTCTGCCCTCACTCAGGAAACCAGAAACCTCAGGAAATTGAGCCAGGAGAGAGTGGGGGAGCCAGAGTGGATGCCAGTGGCTAATGGGGTCAAGGCTGCGTCTAGAGCAAGCTATCTGGGTCCAAGCCATTAACCAGCCGTGGGCAGAAGGACCCTAAATGGAGGTCTAGTCCCTTTCCTTGAAGGCTGAAATCATGTCCTCCTCACTAAGTCTTCCCATAATCATGCACTGAGTCAGAACCACTCTCAGCAGAGCTGGTCAACAGGAACACCTGCAATGCATTGTGGGTTAAGGTCAGAGGCTCCCCTCTCCCACGTCTGATCCCCTCGCACCTCCTTCACTATTGGCTGGAGTCCCTTCTAAGTGGCACATTAAAGTGAGAGAAAAAAGATTAGGTGATTTGAGCTCTCTGCCTTGGAGGGGCCTCAAACAATTATTTTCTTTTTCCTCCAATAGCAAATAGATGTCTCAGATGAAGTGAGAAGCACAGCATTGACAGAGCCAGCTCAGAAAAGCTGGAACTGTCTGGGAGCTGGTCGCGGCTGAAGGTGGCAGCTTCTAAATGAGCTATTAGTGGGATTAAAGAAAATCTATTACATGCACTAAGGAAACAGCTAAAAACCTTTTAACTTCCCATTTACAAAGAAAGATCAAACTTAGTCCAATCTGTAAAGTCTCAGAGGGGTAGCCATGTTAGTCTGTAAGGGTATGTCTACACTACAGTGTTATTTTGAAATATCAAATTTCAAAATAGTTATTTTGAAATATCTTACACAAAATGCATTTCAAAATAGCTTTTTGCTATTTCAAAATAGTGCATCCACACTGATTGGATGCTGAATCGCATTTAAGGCCAGCCGGAAGTGGTTCCGGCAGGGCATCAGGTCAGAAGTCACATTGTGGCCAGAATGGCCCCCAAACTGCACAGTTTCAAAGGGTTTCTCTGGGATTTTAACAAATGACCAAAATTAGGAGATCATGGAAGCTTCTGAGATCTTTCTAATGGGTCCAATTCTGCTTCAATCCAGGCAACAGCAAGCATCTCAGACTTCAATGGAATGAAGCAGCTGCATCTCTGTTTCACCAACTTGAACAGGAGTATGATTGTTCTCAATGCCAGCATGTTATGCTTCGCTATAATAGGGGTAACAAACAACAAATAGTCTAATAGCACCTTAAAGACTAACAAAACATGTAGATGGTATCATGAGCTTTCGTGGGCACAACCCACTTCTTCAGATGAATGAAGTAAGGGGTCTGGGGTACAAATGAATAGTGGAGAAAGAGAGGGGATGGGGAGGGAAAGTAAAGGGAAAAAATAAGAAAAAATATTGTCAATTAGAGTGTGCATGTTACACGAGGCTAATAGACTTGTCTGTACATTCCCAGTGCTTAGCTTTTTATGTCATTAGGGTGTGGAATGTACTGGCCCATGCAGCTCAGGTCTTTGTTCAAACCTTGATTATAGGTGTCAAACTTGTAAATTAAACCAAGTTCTGCAGCTTTTCTCTCCAGCTGGTCTTTGAAATTGCTTTGTAATAGTCATTTTTAGATCCATTAGTCCAGCACCACAAGTTACAGCGCTGTTAAGCACCAGTGTGTACCAGGCAGCTCCCAGCGCTGTTAGCTATTCCCCTTGTGGAGGGGGTTCACACAGAGTGCTGGGCCACACTCAATTTAAGGCATACATTTTTAAGTATGAACAAAACCTCAGTGTCACAGCTAAACACAAGGGGGGGAACAGGTAAATCAACAGGTAAATTCAAGGTGAGGTGGGCAGTTAACACCTCTCCAATCATAAAACAAAGGCGAGATAGTAGGTGACAGACTGTTATATGAGCCAAAAGTCCAATGTTTTTTGATCTGAGGAAGTGGGTCTGGCCCACGAAAGCTCATCATCTAATAAACCATCTTGTTAGTCTTTAAAGTGCTACATTGTCCTGCATTTTGCTTCAGCTACCCCAGACTAACACGGCTACATTTCTATCACTGTTCCTTAACAGGCATTACTGGCACTAGATGGCATAGATCATATTGGTGGATGTGCAGTTGTATGAGCCTTTGATGTGGTGACTGACATGGTGAGGTCCTGTGAAGATGTTACTTGTAGAGATATGTGGACAGAGCTGGCACCGGGGTTGATTGCAGGGCTAGATTCCTGGTAAATATGATGGAAGTGTGCTGCATGGTTGCTGGAAAGAATTTGTTTCAGTTTGAGGGGTTGTCTGTAGGTGAAGATTGGCCTGTCCCCCAAGGCTGTGAGAGTGAGGGGTCATTTTCCAGGATAGGTTGTAGATGGTTAATGATGCCCTGGAGGGGTTTAAGTTGGGAGCTGTAAGTGATGACAAGTGGTGTTCTGTGGTTTTCTAACGTAATACTCGGTCACGGAATAAAAACTGCAATGTAACTTGAGTTAAGGAACCAGCAAAAAATAAACTATATGGGGGCTCCCCAGTTTATTGCAGAAGATATGACTTCTTGCTGGCTAGCCAACTGGCATGATCCACTGCTCAGTACACATCTCCACATCTCCCCTGCCCAGTACACAGACTATTACAGCCCTCTATCTTCCCCCGCCCCACATTACAGAGAATGGCTCATTAGCTCAAGATGTAGTGCGCAACTCATGCTTTTAGCTTGGGAGGCCTCTCATGTGTCAGCCAAATGGCAGCTGTCACATATGTTTCTAGTGCAAACACCTCACAGCCCACACAGCCCAGGCTCAGCATCTTGAGGCCAGAATTCCTGAGCTGGAGAAGGGGGAGAGAGGCAGTTATTCACAGAGACAGCTTGGAGCTGCAGCAAGGCCCAGGGATCTTGCCCACATATTCTTCTAGGGCTGTTCCTTGCAATAATAGGGCAGAGCAATGTGCTCCCCTCCCCTTTCCCCCAGTGCACTAGGGCCATTCCACAGGCCAGCACAGAGGAAAGGAAGGCATGGCCTCACCTGCTACCCAGGGCAGGCATGGAGAGCTAGGCAGAGACTCACTTTCCCCAATGCAAATTTATTGGCTAGCAATTTTCTGCATAACTTCCAGGCTTTAGAACAGGGCCCCATTCAGTTTCGTGCTAGTGGACAGCAGATGACTCACTTCCTACTGTCCAAAGACAAGAGAAGCACATCTATACTCATCCTGCTGGATGCCCCAGTGGGACATAAATCTCAAAACACAGCTGCTCCCAATCCAAGAGCCTGTGAAGGTTCAATGAAACATCCTGAGATGACTCACATCTCGTTCCTGGACCAAACCTATGGGATGGTTATGGGCCACTCTTCCTCCTGTGATGTTCAATCCTCTCCCCATGGCCATCGACATCACAAGGAAATAAGAGGGATAGCTCATAAGATAACCAAATAGGCCAAACACCCCTCAGATCAACCTCTCCTCTACCTGAAACGTAAATAGCACCATCTCCCTTGAAATCAAGCTGAAATCAGTAGCTGGATGAAGAGCAACTGGCTAAATCCGAAGCCAGGGTATGACTAAGTGATGCTGTCAGGACATGGAAAGTGCTTTGAGGAACTGCCTTCAGTTCATTCAGTTGTTTTGCAGTCATGGGATTCTTTTGCATTTTGTCTCTGCTGTTGGGTACCCAAATAGCATGTGATGGGTACCAAACACAGGAGTCCTCTTGTTTAGTAACACAGGTAATCAGGAACACATCACTTCATTGCTTCATTTCCTGCAGCATCTCTCAATTGAATTCAGAGGCCAGCTTATGCTTTTTATCCTACTATCAAGAGCTCTCCATGAGATGGGCTGTAGCTGCCTGAGAGAGCAACTCTATAACCCCGACTTCCCACAATAGCTTCGATAAATTGAAACAATAAAACTGTTGACCAATGGTGGGGGAAACAGTCAAGGACAGAGGTGGCAGACCTTCCACAGGAGCTGGCCTAGGCTGGGAAACTCCCTATATAAAGTGATAAGAATGCCCCTGGACTTCACCATATTCAGAACTAAGTGCAAACTTAATCACTGTACTGTACTTGGTTATCCCTTTATGAGCTCTTCACCGCACACACCCAGGCTAATTTATCAAGCTATTTCTTCTAGAGCTTGGGAAGGAAGAAAGGAAGGAAGGAAGAGAAGATTGCTTAGGTTATTTTTATTTTAATACTTGGCTAGGACTCACACACTATGGCGTGGGCATCCATATGAGTAACTAGACTGAACTCGTACTTCAAGCAATACATAAAAATTAGGTAAAAAAAATAATAAAATCAAGACTTTCACTGTAAAAACACAGGATGCTGCTGAGCCTAGCTCCTATGAGACAGCAAAATAGAATTCCTCCCTCCTCTGCACTTCCCTTCCCACCTCCTGCCACTCAAGTTGTGTAATGTCATGATCTGACTCATTTTATGGAGCCAGATGAGTTTTATCCAGTCTAGTTTCTTGTCCAGACTTGCAGAGAGATAAGAAAGCGACTGTGATCTCATTCTGTTCAAAGCCAGCATCTGCTGGATAAAGAGAACCACATTGGTTGCTTTGGACCAAAGAATTTAAATAGGTTTTTAGATCCAGAATCTACAGTTTTGTTGGAATGCAAAATTGGATTGAATCTGTTATAAAAAAAACCCACCCTATTTTGTCTATCTGGAGTGGAACTACTTGTGGCCTACCATCTCGGTATATGCCATACACACATTTTACCCTGAGGGGCTGAGGTGCAGGGCTGACTCACGTCCTATGCCACCTCTGAAAAGCCCTTCCCCCTAAAAATTTTTTCATTCATAAAGAAATGAGATTTGCTGCACCAGTTCAGATCAAGTCTTTTTTTTGTCTCTGATTGCAGCCGGGGGGAGGGTGAAGGGGGCATAATATACCCAGGCTATTGCTCAATGCTGTATGGGGGAGTAGGAAACAAATCATTATATCCTGA